CTGAGCCAAACCGGTTTCAGCGAAGTATAAGAGTTCTTTATGTTTTGCATAAAAATACCTTATCAGATATATGATTTGCAAATATTTTTCATATTTTATTTTTTATTGAATTTATTGGAGTGACATTGGCTAATAAAAGTATATAGGTTTCAAGTGTACAATTCTTACAACACATGATCTGTATAATATATTGTGTGTTCACCACCCCAAGTGAACACACCATTCCATCACCATTTATCTTCTCCTTTACCTTCTTCTACCTCTCCCCAATTCCACTTGTTTTGCAAATATAGAGTGTCCCAAAGGAATGTATACACACACTTTTGAGTAATTACAAAGGCAGTGCTTATTAAAATATATTTCATTTTCAAAATTGACCTATCAGCTTTTAAAGTGTGTGTACATTTTAGGGGGACACCCTGTATTTTCTCCCATTCTGTAGATTTTCTTTTCCTGATATGGAGTTTTTTGAAGCACAAAAAGTTAATTATGAATAAGTTAAATTCATTTTTTCTTTTGTCTCTTGTGCTTTTGGTCTGATATCTAAGAAGGCTTTCCTTAATGCACAGTTACAAGGGTTTACTTCTGTGTTTTAGGGTTTTAGCTCTTAGATTTATATCTTTGATCCATTTTGAATTAATTATTAATATATGGTGTGAACTAAGGTCCAGCTGCATTCTTTTGCATATGGATATCCAGTTATCCTAGCAACATTGTTTGAAAAGACTAGTCTTTCTCCATTGATTTGTCTTGTCGTATTTGTCAAAAATTAAATGACCATTAGTGTAAGATTTTATTTCTTGTTTTATTACATTGGATCTACATATTTATCCTTACGTTAGTACTATAATTTGATTACTGTAGCGTTGTAGTAAGTTTTCAGGTCATGAAGTGTGAATCTTCTAATTTTGTTCTTTTTCAAGATTGTTTTGGATGTTCTGCATCCTTTGCATTACCATAATAATTTTAGGATCAGCTTTCCATTGTCTACTATGAAACCAGCTGGGATTTTGATAGGGATTGCATTGAGTCTTTAGATCAATTTGGAGAGTATTATCGTCTAATAATATTAAGTCTCAAGATCCATGAGCTGTCTGTCCTTTCTTTAATCTGTTGTTATTTAATCTTCAGTTTGCCTTTCTTATTAATACAGGATTATCAGGGCTCACTGTTGAAAAAAAATTATTTTGTTCATTTCCTCATTGACCCAGGCATTCACTCCTTTAAAAATTTATTTTCATTCCATTTCAATGTTAATATTTAGTATGATATTTTAGTAAAAAAGAAATATGAGTGTTACGTTTAATATTTCCTAGGATATCTTTAGTAATGTCACTAAGAAATGAAAAAGTAATTATGCTTTCTTTATCAGGTGATAATTTTACTGAATTTGATTCTATTTTATGATTCAAATTTAACTTTAACTTTTTATGTACAAGTATGCATATGTTAATTTGAAGTAATGTGATACCACTTAATGTTGAATTTTAATTACTTAAATCCAACTTAATTTTTAGAACATTAGAAAAACCTAATTTTTTTTCCCCCCTTTACTGTAGTCGGTGGTAGATGATTGGATAGAATCATACAAGCATGACCGAGATATAGCACTTCTTGACCTCATCAACTTTTTTATTCAGTGTTCAGGCTGTAAAGGTAAGATATATTTATTTTTGTAAGCAGAATATTTTTAAATGGTCTCCTCTTTTTTGTTCCACCTAAAGCTATATTAACACTTTACATGGAAAATAATGCCAAGATATTGGATTGCTTGCATTACAACCATACATAATATGTAAGAAGAAAAAGAGCAAAGAACATTGTAAGAAACTCCATTGAGACAGTTGCACTCATATGTGAAGTTAACTAAAACTTGGCAATTTATAATTGTTACTAGAGGCCCGGTGCACAAAAATTTGTGCACTCGGGGTAGGGGGAGGGTCCCTCTGCCCAGCCTGTGCCCTCTCGCAGTCTGGGACCCCTCGGGAGATAACGACCTGCTGGCTTAGGCCTGCTCCCGGGTGGCAGAGGGCAGGCCTAATCCCTAGGTGCAGCCCCTGGTCGGGCTCAGAGCAGGGCGGATTGGGAGGTTGCGATGCCACCCTCAGTCACCCTCAGGGTAGGGCTGATTGGGGGGGTTGGGACACCGCCCCTGGTCACACTCAAGGCAGGGTTGATGGGGAGGTTGCAGCACCACCCCCTGTCACACACAGAGCAGCGCCCATCAGGGGGGTTGAGGTT